GTATCTTCATAAATTAAATCTGAAATGATATTAATTATGCAATTGTTAGAGTTTGTTGGTTTCGTTAGGTTCCATTATTTTTTACAGACCAAAACAATCTTTTTTTGTATATTTACGATTCCGTGTGTCTACATATTTCAAATATTTTATATTTAATGTATATATACATGACGTAAATGTCTTGTAATTTTTTATATTAGTACTACAAGATAGCTTCTTCAAGATCCATAAAACAGCACGTGCGTTATTGTGTAATGTTTGAATATTGGTAGAAACATAGCGACAGACGTTCGTAAACTGGTTCCTGTTGAATAAAATATTGACAGAAATTGTACAAAGTATTTTATGTGTATTTATTTATAATTTGAAGTTTCCGCAATATTTGACAATATTCTAGTCAATGAGACAACTTGGTTAAATTGTACAAAAACAGATAGATTTCTGATTGGGTTTGTCGCTCATTGAGAAATTGGATCCAATCAAATTTCTAAATTACTTTATTAAGTATTTGAAAAGAGTAACTGTCGAGTTTCTTGTGGGTTCTTTTTGGCAAATAACATTCTGAGCCCAACGGTAGAATAATAAAAGAGATTATTCTATTTTATCCCATTACATCCCATTTCGTTCGATTCTTTTCAGTTTCATTACATTCCAATTTAGTTCATTCCATTATATTCTACTAACAAGTAATTTATGATTTTTTTTTATTAAAAAGACCAAACTTAGTTTTTGTGTTAGAGTCATATATAATTCAAATAAACATATGTTATTTTTAATATCAATACATATTGTTTACGATGTAAAAACAAATGTTTTACTGAGGTTCGTTCTTTTTCTGTCTGAGCATTGCCTGGTTAAACTTTGCATATTTCATAAATGAATAATTACTAATTTAGTAGACAAACTATATAATTCTGTAAAATGCCAATAACTTTATTAAATTTAAAACGTCAATTTACATCATTTTGTGTTTTATATAATGTATAATATTTAAGAGAGGTAATTGAAACAATCTGTTAAGATTTCTTAGTTTATAATTAAAAAATATATATAAATATAAAATACATATAATAATGTTTTATTACATCAGTCAAAGAAATGTAAGCTTGTTGAATTCTACTAACAAAATTAACATATCCACTGTTTCATCTCAACTGGTTCCCACTTTTGAATTTCCTATTAGTGTTTACAAAGGTAGAGTCAATACGATGCGGTAGCCAGAAATTTTAATAATAACTATTAAGTTTCTATTGTCAACTTTATGACCATAGCAAAAGGCTGCATTTCATTCGTGGATAGATTATGAAATGAAGATCCACACGTTGCTTTATTGTTGAAATTTGTTTACAGAATTTCGAGTTATTGACTTTGCCGTGAGAATTGGCTTCTAACGTTCGTAACCCTGGTAGGTCCGATCGATCAAACATCTAACATACTACTGTTAAGCATTTTGAAGCCATGAGCGAGTAAATGAACAAGCCAGTAATTCTGTTTGTACTGTGCGAACCAATAACGAATGTATTTTTGTATACAATAAAAATTAACGCATTAGAATTTTTAGTCATATTTAAGCAACTTTCAAGAGAAGGGGTTTCTTAATTTGTCTCTATTTTATTTTGTATTCATTATGAATAAAACGTACATATGTACGAAAATACTTCATAAACATATTTTTTTATTGAAAGTATTGCAATTGCAGTTCTTATTTTCAAAATTGGCATGTTAGATAAAAAAAAATAATATGAAATAGGAATATATTTTTTTTAATATTAAAATGGCAAACAAGCTGACGGCCCACCTGATGGAAAGTAGTAACCGTCGCCTATAGACATAAGCAGTACCATGGACATAACAGAGTATACTGTTTCGCCCATGATACCCCCCATGCGTTGCCATTCCTGAGGACTCAGGTGTTATTCCTTTGTACCCAGTAAATTCACGTCATACCCACCCTTCAAACCTAAACATAACCATGCAAACACAGCTGCTTCACGGTTGAAACACGAATGAGACAGAGGTAACCAAGCAATCGACTTTAGTACAGTCTCCCTCTGGTAAATATATATATATTAAAGGCTTAAAGACAATGCGACTCATTGAAATCATTTGGCTTAAAATTATATGGAATTACCATTGTAAAATCAATAGCAAAAAAGAGTTGTTAAAATCGATCCAGAATTAGTAGAATATTACATTACACATTACAGATCATATACTTACAGTCAATTTAAGACCCTATTTTTTTTGAAGTCGATTGAAAATGGACTGCTACAATCTACAAACAAATATCTTATTTTGTACTTCAAATTCTATTTATAAGTTTACCACTGTCTGCAATACCGGTGTACAAACAAATCCCCTACATCAACGCTGCCTCCATCGGACTTCCGATTCTCGTAATCGAATAACTCAAATAAACTCAGGTGGAACTTTTCAATACGCTTCGTGACCGTGACGATTACGATTGAAACGCATTATGCGAAATGGTGTCAAACATAATTATATTTCCATTTAAAACAAATATAAACATTTTAATACCGATGGACTTTATAGATACTAGATATAGTGACATCTAGCGCCAAAATAACAGAGCTTGTGCTGTGGGTACTAAGCAATTGATATAAAAGATACTTATTTTTTTAGTTAAAACATTTTATACTTAGAAAAGACACATAAACAAATATATTAATACAAGTATGTATACTTATAAATACAAATGTATTATGTACGGGAATCGAACCCGCAAACATTTGAAAGCGAGGCAGTGTTTTATTGTTACACTACCAAGGCAATTAATTTAAGAAACTCAGAGACCATATTGTCATTGATTTGGAGCCGTATATTTGATAAAATACACACGGACAGTATTTCCATTTTGTAGATTGTAAGAACGTTACCTTATCGAGTTACTTGTTTAAGACTGTTCAGGTATTAAAATTAATAAAGTTTTTACTGATTAAAATGGTTATCCTTACTAAAATTAAAATGTGAAAGTGAGTTTGTTTGATACGTCTTGGTGCTTTAACACATATATTTCGGTTAATGTATGTTAGTGATAATCATCAATTTGATATGTATTTCATTATCATTTCAGTCAATATCTGTCTCCATAGACAGCCATAATACACTACATTTACTCTACGTGGTCGCCACTCAAGAGTCTTTCTTCCCTATCTGTTGTTAGTTCTTCGAGTTTTGTGACCAACCCACCGAGATATGTGTTTATTACTGCATAAACTATTCACTGAATGTAAGCTTCTGTGATACGAAACGCATAGATTGATTCGTTCTAAACTTGCTCGTTCTAAGGCCAAAAAGTAGGTCACAAAAAACGTATATCAATACTTCTAATTAAAGTCACAAAGCATAATATACTATATTTGAAATAATAAAAAAAACTATCTCCACCAAAGTTTGTATCTGATGTCGCTGCAGCACTGTGTTTGTTACCGGAAACCTTTTTTGGACTCACCTTGATAACGTCGACAAAGATTAACAAGACATCGATTCAGCAATAATGGAAGTCACGTTAATTATTAAGGTACAAGTAATTTCAAGCTCTATTACCAACCAGGTAATACATTTGTTAATTTGACATAAATCTATTATTTTGAGAATGTGTTTATTATACGTACGTATAATAAACACATTATGTATAATTATTTGATAATTTTATGAAATACAGTAGTTTTAATTCGATTAAGAACCAAATTTGAGTACATACGGTTATAGGTATATTAATAGAATTAATACATGTAAAATCTAATAGTAGTTTATTGAATCGATGTTTTAAAAAATTATTTTATTTTTAACTGACATTAAAAAGAAGGAGACTCTCTTACTTCAGTTGTATTATTTTATGTTTGTTACCTTATAAATCCATCAATTATAAACTGATTTATAATATTCTTCTTTTATCTAAAAAGATATACTTACAGAAAGGTTCCATAGAAAATTTATTAAAATCAGTTTAGTAGTTTAGTTTATAAATCAAGATAACTGATTTTGTCACCTTTGAATCCATTTTTTGTAGGATATAGTCTTTAATTAATGGTAATGTCGTCTTTAGATTTAAATTATAACAGATTTCAGCTCTTCAAATTATTTCATTTTAAGTATATCTGCTTACAAAAATAATATTATTTAAAAAAAAAACAAAAAAAAAAAAACTATTATTATACTACTTTTTACTATAGCCAGTGGTATTATATTTGGAATATGAAATGATACTACAATTCAATGAATACAGCATTTCATTTAGAAATAATTTGGTACAAATTAATATCATTAAATAGGTACAAATTATAAATAAGATTAAATATTTTTTTTATAATTATATACAAAATTTTAATATTTCAATATGCGACAATAATTATGTTTTAAATTATAACAAAAAATATATTATATATACTTAAAATTAATCTTTATATTGTGCACAATACTGTATTGTTTATGTATCCATATAAAACACAGTTCAAATTTTATTTTTTAGTTTGTGGAATACAATGTTTAATACTTTCTTTTCAAATTGTAAAACTAGTTATTTATTATGCTAATTAGAACAGATTAATTGTAGTAAAATAATTACTTGTATCAATAATCACATATTGTTTTTTAATATATGCATAAAGTCTATTTTACAGTAATAATGATATTGCCGCATAATTAATTATATAAGTCTTATATAAATAGGTATTAATTAAATAGTATTCAATTCAAAGTTTAGATCTAATATTGTTAGGAAAGATCACATAATAATATATAATTAACACAAGTATTAAGAGGCTTTATAAAAGTATATGTATACAGGGTGGATGGTAAAATTAAATTATTTTAATTTATATTTCGGGTACGATAGTATCGAATTGATTAATAGTCTTGAATTATATTAAATTAAAAAATATCGTTTCATATTTAATTGAAAGTAAGTTAAATTTGAATAAATATATCATATTAAAATGTCAATTACGTTGTAACGTTTGATTCAAATAATATACTGGTCTTACTTTATTAAATGTTTTCAAAAATAGACACAACCAAAAGCAACGCTTTAGTTATGCATGATGTTCTGATTTATTTCAATAAAATTATACTTTTTAGAGAATTTACTAAAAATATAGAAAAACCTAAAACGAATTTATATGCACATTTATTAATTACATAATTAATTAATGTAATCGGTTTACATTTCTAGTTGTACACTATAAAATAAACTCATAAAAATACACATTCTCAAACTATATGTAATATTGTTTTAAAAATTTTGCTGCTTAAATGAGATTTATTTGAAAATTATAAATGCAATAAAATACTGAATATCTAAGAATTGCTATTAAAATATTAAAAAGTACGTAAATATCAACCGTTTTTAACTTCAGTTTTATTCAACTTTAGAATTGTGATATGCTCATATCTCATCATACGTACATTAGTGTAATTGTGTTTTAGTTTCACTGCTGTCATTTTATTTCCAGTGAGTAAGTAAGTGAGTCTGTTGTACTACGTTTATTCTATAGTGTACATAATGTTTTGTATTTTGCTGAAAAAAAAATCTTGAATGGATTGGAATGAAACATTACGTGTTTAATACAGACTCACGTATCAATGTTTCGATGGATTTAAATGAATATTGAAGCAGCCATGGAATAAACTGGCCTTGAATTATAACATACATATACAAATTAGTATAATATAACTATGGGATTCTATAAACAATTAGTGAAATAGGTATTAATAACTAGTTTTTTCTCCACAAATTTGTTCAAGTGAACGGGATATGTTGATATTCTTTATCGTCTCAAATATTACTCGTATAACAAATTTCGCAACCAGCATTGAGATTGGGTATTTTTTTCGAAAGTTTGAGGAAATTACATTTTTGAAAATATTTTTTGGAAAAAAGTGAAAAGAGCTTGGAAAATTTTGGCGATATTTTTGGAGTTTTGATACTTATAAATTATTAAGAAGTGCATAAATATACTATAAAAAATGAAGGTAGCAAAACAGAGAATAAAGATGAGAGTTTATCGTTTATTTTGTGGCACATGACAAAACGTAAAGAAAAAAGATACAAGAAAAAGGCAAAAGTCCTGGAAATTGTATCAATTTGGAGAAAAATTTTTAGAAACGTTTGGGTAAAAATTAAAATTCGTATCTGACAATTTTGTTCGTTACGGTTAGAGTTAGGAGTTAAAGCCCCCAAGAGGAGTTAAGCACATAAACTCAATTTCACGTTTATAATATAAGTTAGAATTATATAAATGCACCCTGTATACATTTACTTTTTATTTTAATAAAATGCTGTAAATAATATTTTTATGAAGATAATTTATATTACAATATAACATTTAGCCCTCACCTGAGGTTTCTCACCATATACAGTCTCAAATTCAATTAGATTTACACTCAATGCCAAAATATACCAAATTCTTATTAACAAAAACAATTGTCTGGAGCCAACGTTACTTATAGCTATTACTACCTATCTAATTTTATTTACAAGTTATTTTAAGATAATTATTTTGTACAATAATTATTTACTTTGGATCGTGTGTCGTGAAACCTGGGACAATCTATATTATAAAAATAAATCTTACGATTAAATATTATTAATATTTATATTATAATTTTATATCAGTTACAATAAGTTAGTGTAATATGTGTAGTAGATAACATAGAAATAATGGAATACAATTTAATAATTATTAATTTAATAAAGAATAATCATAAGAATAACGTATGAAAGAAAATAATCGTCAAAGTATTAAATAAAAATTTACACATTTTTGTTATTATTATTTTTAGGTATTAATTTTATGTCTACGCTAGTTGTAGAAAACCACACACAAAAATTTGAATTTTGATAAAAATTTTCACAGTATTACACGTACAGCAGTATTGGTTTATAATAATATACAAATTATTTAGTTTTTGGTTTGAGGTTACATTGAAAAACAATAATTAAGGAAATATTAAATCCAATAAGATACGGACGGACGAAAATGCTGTAACAATATAATTTTAAGAAACCTTAAAATATATTTTTAATGACATTAAATTAAAAATCACAGCAAATATCAATTTTCTATCTACTAATACATTTTAATTTCTATCTATATAATAACCGTGGTGTCATATCTTACATTACATTGCATAATTCTAAGCTTAATTACACATATGAAAATTCGTAGTATTTATTACAGTAATAATTATTACTAAGAATGTAGTAACAGTAAGAGTTGTATAAAGAATCAGGTAAATTAATGTTTATAGAATAAATTAGTTTTGACATTGCTCGATATTAGTACGTTTGCATTGTACAAGTGTACTTACATTTTCAGACAATGATAAAAAGAAATTTATTCTCTTGAATACAAATTACAATTTCAAAGAAGATAATTAACAATTTAATTATTATTTGTATGTCTTATCTAATATAAAATTATAAAAAGAAGATCAATTATAGTTGACAGTTTATAATTAAATCTAAATTATGTGTTATTTTTGTAATGAGACGTACTTTGCTAGTTCTGTTTTATGGGAAAAAATTAAAGAGCAAAATAGTGTCGCCAAAGTGTTGCCAGCAAATAATAATATAGTTGTTTCCAGTAGTGAACTTTGGCTTTTAAAGTCATTAGTTTCTCATTGTGTATTGAAACACATTGCGATATGGGTTGCTCGTTTGATAAGTCGGTAGAATACATTCTAACTTTGTCCATAAATGGAGCATTACTCGTTGCCCGTCATAAATATTCATTGTCGGCAACCAAGACGAAGTTTCTCGTTTCTCGTTTCAAAGTAGATGCGAGAATATTAGCGAATTTATGAGTAAAAATGTTCAACACTTCAACGTGATTTTCCTCCACTGAACTTCGACAATATTTATCTATCAGGACAAGACTATGTCAAATACATTAGTATAAATATAATATATACAAGATGTTAAACTATATACAGTGACTACGTCCATAAAATAAAAATTATAAAGAAGTGAAACTAAATGAATCGATGTTTTACACTGTCACAAAATAATGTCATAATAGAGAGTTCTGCACATTAAGTGTCCGAGATCAAAGTAAAGCCTCTTCGAGTTGGTCGAAGCCATCGTACCATCAGTCACTTTCATAAACGGTCGAATTCGAACTCTTCCTTCGACTGTATGGAGAACAAAATTCGATCCTGGTGTCTGGTAGCCAGGTATACGCAGTGCGCTCTGAAGATGCACTGAAATAGAAAGAAAACAAATATTTTAATATACGTCACTTAATAGAATAAAGGATTTTATCTGCTCGATATTGGGAGTTTACGATAGCCTACGGACATCTGTAATGCCAGGGGTGTCATATATGTATTGAAAACTAAAACCTTTGCTGTTTTAGAAATTCTAAAAACCACGTTCACCACAGAAATGCTACGAATCTCCTGTAAAGCAGAGTTGCTTTCCTAGTTAGACGGCTATTTAGGACAAGAATTTTCGTTATTCGAATTACTACGTAGCTACAATATAACCATAAATCAGTGTATTACTCAAATTTAGAATGGAAATGTTTAGGTAATTATTAGTAAAGATTACATAGACAGCTAGTGTATAATAATTAATCATAGTGTTGATAATTTCAACCGTTAACTGTCCACTGATGAATGTAGGCCTCTCCCATAAGGGGATTTTCTCAGAAGTTGCCACGCTTGGCAGGTGGATTGGAAACCAAAGTTAGGCTTTGGTAATGTTTTAAGAGGGATGATGCTGCCCATCCCTCGACCATTAAGATCCTTTAATCGCCTATTACGACACCCACGGGAAAGGAAGGGGTGGCCTATTTTATATCGGGACCACATTGCACTTCGTGGATATACAACATTTTTAACAGTAGAAAAATATAATAAACCATTAAAAGTTTACTAACTTATAACTCATTTTTATGCAACTTGGAAAGGTAAACATGCTGATGGCACAACTAATGGAAATAAGTTTCCTTGTACCTTATATCTTAGATAATAGAAGCAAAATAGGTTTATCGAATACTCTATAATTCTTATGGTAGAAATCCCTCATGTTTTGTTATTATTAATACATAAGATACTACCATTCTTTTAGTCGAAATACAGCTTAGGTTGCAAAATCACGTTTGCGACAAAACAGTTTTCGAAATAACCATCTATATTTCCCTTGAATATTAATTTAATGAGGGTAAATCTATTTTATTTCAACACCAATTAATGCTCACAACATTAAACACTGTGCTTTCTAAACAAAGCGCTTCGAATGGTAATCAAAAGCGGTTTAGAGCAAAATGTGTCGTTACAAACGGAATATGTTTGGTCACAGTGAATACGTGGCGACATTAGGTCAACGTCGACATTTTATACTTACATTATATAGAATATCGAGTGTCAAAAACCTGTCAAAATTTTGTCAGCTGATTTCACGTTTGGCTGACCTTTATTTTTAATCGAAATATAAATAATTTTTTTTCTGTGTTGCGAGTAAGAAGAATATAAATTTCCCAAATCAGGTAGATTTTTTAGATTAGAATTTAGAATTATTTTGTGTGATAAATATAGTCATATAATGGTTGAAATTAGGATATGATGATGAATATAAATATGCACAAGTAGTTTATAAATTAATATACATGCATTAATTAAAATGGCGGCCTTTTTAATTATTTAAAAACGCTAACTTATTTTATGTCTGTACAAGCATTCAGTAAAAATAAGTATTATTGCGTATCATTACGTGTATGCATTGTTTATCTTGTTCTTTTAAATATAGTCGTAAAAATTAGTGTGGTCTCGATCGCCGTTATGGTGCCGGCATAGAATGGACCACCCCTGGCAAACGCTAAGTGTGGCAACTACCGGCAAAAGTCATCTTATGATGGAGTCCTACGTTTAGCAGTGGCTACTGTTTTAAGATGTATGGTTAGTTTTTAATGACCTTCAAAAGAGAGAGTTTTTTCTCTCAGTTTATATGAATTTTGTTGACATTGTTGTTACTGAATTATGAATAGCCGAAGTGATGCCTATGTGTGGTCCTGGCATAAAATAGGCTACCCTTTCCATTCTCATGAGTGTCGTAAGAGGCGAGTAAGAGAGGGCGAGGGATGGGCAGCAAGCAGCGTCTTTCTTAAAACATCTTCAAAACAACTATGATTGCCAATCCGTCTGTCCAGCATGACAACTACTGGCAAATTCCCTCAAGGGGGAGGGGAGGACCATATACACATTTTTTTTAAATAATTTTCCTCCAAATTTCCTGCATTTTTTTAGCGTGAAACACGGAACATTTTTAATCTAGATATCTCGTGCTTTATCTAAGTAATATCTTGAATATTGAATGTTAAAAGAATCTCTCAAAACACGAAAAAAAAAAATTTAAGACAATATTACTTGTTAATGTTGTTGTAAATTTATTGAATTTTAGATTATTGAATTTAAATTATTTTTACTCGCATTTAAATTTACAATTGATATGAAAATTTTGTGACTTTTTAAAACAATGTTAAAAAAAATAAGCATTAAAATGCATTGCAAAGTACACGCATTACTGCCAGGAGTACCACCTACAAGCACTTGAGTAAACTCTGCCCGTGTTTATCTTCACCTTTGAGGCTCATAGGTTGTTGTTTTAGAGAACCCCTTACAGTTCAGGGGTCAACGTACTTGACATACTGGGAAGCATAGGTCGACGATACCTATTTCAAGGCGAAGATAGTTTTTGTCACAAAAAATATAGGTAAGAGTTTTTAAAGCAGACACATTAATTTACTGACGACCGTAAATGATAAGTAAATACCTGTTATTTGTAATTAAGGCGTGAACATAATTAATTGCTAATTAATGTGTGAAATTTTATTAATGTCTGATTAAGAAACATTTTGCTTTAATATAATACAAAAAAAATTATTTTAGAAGGAGCTTCTATTTATTTTTTACGGAATAAAATTTTATACGCTATATTACATTTTTTAAATGTAATTATTGTACGAATATAGGTATCTGGTTCACATCTTTGGTTGTACCTACGAACAATGCCTGAAGCAACATTTCTTTGCATTGTACATTTTTCTTTAAAAATATTTTTGTTTTATTATTTACCGAGAGTCTATATTTCATTCACTGAGAGCTTTTATTTATAACAAGGTTTATGAAAATTAAATTTATATTCTGTTAAGGTTCTCTTACTCTGATTTTGACAGCATTGACGTTTAAATAGAAAGACATTGTGATATCTCTTGAGATGGAAATGGGATTGTTTTGTTCATTACTTCGAATTTGATTAAAATGAAAATAGCAATGATTCTTCCTAAAAACTTTGACAAATTTCAATTTATTATCTAGAGAAATTCGCATTACTTATTTTAGATTATCCACGAATTTGAAATCTATATTTCTCAGAAGATCATGTTCTATTATTTTAAATATGTTTCCTATTGAGATATTTAAATTAATAATTTATTTATAATTTTACAAAACGAAAGATAAAATATTAAATTTCAATAAAATAATTTGAATAAGTTGAAAAAAGAACAAAGACCATGTAACACCAGTAAACACCATGTTTACTTCTTTTTATGGGTGTGAATTAAATAGTGATCCCGCCTGCGCTATTAGTATACACCGGTCAAGGATGACAGGCGAGGATGAATTCTACAATTATAAACCTAGATGGTTTCCAGGGTAACCGTGTGGAGATCGACCTGATAATACTAGAAATTGAGCAGTTAGATTCCATTACTTTCTATCCCCTTTACCATGTTTATTTAGGTAAAGTGAACACGGTAGGAGAGAAAGAATTAGTTAAAAATATCTTCCAACTAATACCAAGATCTACAGTCTAATTTATAATACTGACATAAACAAAAAAATTCTTCTTTTTTATAGAAATTAGTATAGCAAATAAGCTGACAGTCCACTTTATGAAAAGCGGTAACCGTCGTCTATAGAGACGAACAGTACCATGAATATATCAATGTATTATGCGTCGTTTAGATACCCTTCATACGTTGCCATTTCTGAAGACTAAAGTGTTATGCCTACTTACCCTGTAATTTCACTGCCATATCCCACCTTTCAGACCAAAAAACAGCCATGTATACAAAACTGCTTCACAGCAGAATCACAGATGGGTCAGAGATATCCAAACAGATGACTTTTGTAGAGTCTCCCTTTGAGCAAATATTAAACAACAAAAATAAATATTACTACGCTTCAGATGTAATGACGATTATTTTTTTTTATTTAAGAGTATTAACGATAATGGTTAAAAAATATCAGTAAAGTTAAATTAAGTTACAATTAATTTTATTGCAAAATAATATACAAAACGCATGCCTATTATTTGTATCGCTTATTATAGATATTAGAGCCAGTTATTAATTATTATTAATTACACGATATGTTGTCGCGATAATGGGACTTGACGTTATAATCTGATCGTGTCTGCCTCCCGGTTAGTAATAATTCAATATTACGGCGGTTCATTTGATGTTTAATCAAATAGTTATATTCCACGTTGGTCTCATTTCAAATAACCTGTTCCATTCTGGTTGGTGAAGTGTGATAAAGACAACACGATAATGTTATAATAATATTAACTATATGAGACGTAATCGACATACTCCTAATAAGTTTCAGATATTCTGAGACAGTGACTGAATAAGAAGCCGTTATGTCATATAATACTTATAACAAAATGTGCCATTCAAATTGATTAGTTTATCGATTGATATCGTGATATTATTTATTTACCAGCAATTCATCAATCTTAAATTTCATTACAAAACATAAAAGAGACCTTTATGTTCGGTTCAAATAAAGCATTTCTCTCGATTTATATACAGGTTGAGAACATCAAGTGATCCTCTTTGATTATTATTCCTTTTTTTGTTGCCTTTTATACTCGTAGGACTTGAAAGTGTGTTTATAAGCTACATAGATTGTTTTTTTATGACTGAAAAAGAAACTGGTTATATTTAAAAAATTTATTTTTCCATAAAATCGAGATAATTATGTTGGGTATCTTATTTTTATTTAATTCGACTTCTATAACGACGGTCGTAATGTTATCGATAAACAGTAGATAGAGCGAGATATATTTTATAAAGCAATTAAACAAATTGCCCTATTTGAGAAGTTAAGAAGGTAAAATAATAGCACATAATTGTACCAGTACAACTTAATATAAGTAGTAACATTGTTACATAAGTACATTCTACGAGATT